TGAGGTTAACACGAGTAATTTTTTGTACATGGGACATCCCTCTACTCCCCAACTTCAAGCTTGTTGATAGAGCCAGATGCCATGTTTCAGAATTGTCTAAAACTACAGGAACAGTGTTGGAAATGAGCTCCAAATCATACAAAGAGTCCATGGCACAGGAGCTAGCGGCCCACCTAATAAATAAAATGACACAAATATCAGCATACATTAGACAACACCTCTAGTTATTTCTCTGAAAATACTACTCAATTTTTAACACGAGAGAGTTACAACTGCTAATGCAAAGAGGCAACTATTTTTATTTCATTTTATTTTATTTTGTGAGTGCAGCACACATGTCCTGGTTTATTTTATTCATAAGCAAACTAGGAAGTGCCTAATATGCATGCAAGACACCAATCCTGTGTCAGTGTTTGCACCATGCATTGAACCATAAGCCTCAAGTTGTTGCTTTTAATAAAAGGAAAAGAAATGCAAGGAAATTATTTACAAGTGTTACGCAAACAATTCCATTGAAAACAAAACAACGGCCAGTGTTCAACTATTGTCTTCTTCTTTTTTTCTTCTTTTGTTCCCCGTTGTGATGTAACCTACCAAGCATTCTTTACAATATAAGCCAAATGAAGCTTACCTTTCCTCTGAATTTGCATTGTCTGACTGATGAAGAAGCCCTTTATTATTATGTATTGGATTAATACACATCCTAGAAGGCATCACAAAAGTTCTGCAACAAGATAGAGTAGTGAAGTCAAAACACTTATTACCAAGACCATGATAATCATTAAGACCAACGATAATGAATTTCTAATCTTTCAGGGTCTCACAGGCATCTTTATGCCAAGACTGAAATCAGTTTACTTACTACAGCTATTAAAAGCAAGCATACTTACTACTGCCATCTTTCAATGCTAGTAAATTAAGAAACAAACCAAAGAAGCCAATCTTACTAAAAATGCACATCACTTAAAAGAAATGATTTGTTAAGTTACAAGAGGAAATAAAAGATTGTGTTTTCTCTCATCCCTTGTTTGGTAAAGCTGTAGAGGAAGAAAATAAAAGATAATGAATTTTCTTTTATCTTGATTGTATAGACTACATACAAGAAAAGAAAATAAACTATTACATGTTAGATTGTCAAATAACATTTGATGTTTTTATTTCTTTAGCACTTCGATGGACAATTTTGGTATTATACAACGATATTACGCACTCCATTTCTTTTCTCTCTCTCTCTCTCTCTCTCTCTCTCTCTCTCTGGAGAGATTCAATAAGTGAGTTTTAAAAGAACCCCTCTTCTCTTCATTTCTTTCCATTTCCCCCTATCTCTCTCTTGTCCTCTTTAGGTTGTGTTTGGTCATGGATTTGGTAAAGGTTATGGAAATGGAAAAGGTGGGTGAAATGTGAATGAAATATAATTACATGTCACACACCTTTCACACATTTTTTCTCTTTCCATTTCCAAATCCCTCAAATCCCTTTCCAATTCGATGAACCAACAAAACATGTGTAATTCAAACAAGTGATTAATAGAAATCAATTTCTTTTCTTTTCTCTCCAAATCACACAATCCATTACCTCACTAGATGCCCTCCTATCAACAAATCTATGTTACTGACTCTTAATGCTGTGTTTGTATCATGGAAATGGATAGAGATTTAGAGAAGGAAAAGGAAATGGAAATGAGAATTTTTTTTAGCTTATATATCAACAAATATATTGCTTCCAAATTCTCTATTACTGACTCTCAACACTGTGTTTGTATCATGGATTTGATTTCCCTTTCCAAATCCCTACCCAAATCAATGATCAAAACACAGCCTTAATACTTCCAACTATCAATTCAATTTCCAAAAGATGTCACAACAAAGAAGAAAGAAAAGACCCAATTGACAACAACCCAATTCAATTGAAGTGCTTATACCTCAGCTGAAAAAGAAAAAAGAAAATCCCAATACACATAGAATGAAACTTTAAAAATACACATACCTCTGAAGAAACATGGCTTCTTCAAGAGCGCACCTGAGGCTGGACTCCTGATGACCCAAACCAGCACAGGTCTCACAGTTCTTTCCGGGACAGTCGATTCTGTTACCCCAGTACAAGTACTTTTCGGAGGCATTGAAGGGTCTCTGATGAGTCTTAACCACCAAGTTTTTGAGGGTTTTGGCAGAGGAAAAAGAGAACCCATTTGTGGAATTCAGAGAAGAGAGAAGGTACAAGAGAGCAATTGCTGAGATGGAGATTGTGAGTATGAAGACTGGGGATCTGGGTTTTTTGTTGCTCCTTGGGGCTTTGTGGATCGCCATTGATGTCTGTTGCTGAGTCAAGTGTAAAAGTGGAAAAAAAGAAAAAATAAAAACCAGTTGGGAGTTGGATTGGGCCCTAGGCTAAAACAAATAAGCAATCCCGACCCGACCCGTTATGAGACTTGACCCAAAAACAGGGTTGATTAATGTACCGGTAAATTATTGATAAATCTCATTTAGAAGTGTTTTAACTCAAGAAATTTATGAAAAAAAATTTGAACTCATTTAGTCCCATGTATGTATAGTTTTATTCTATAAAGTCCTTTTTTTTTATTTACACTATTTTCTTTGACACTTATGCCCTTATATTTAATTTTGATATCCTTATAAATATTTTTTGAACGGTTAGCAATTTTATGATGTGAACAGTTATATTTTAAAATTCACATTGATAGGAATATAAAATTGGCCCGTGGGCGGCCCGAAACCCGCTCGCGAGCCGGGGCGGGCCCAGCCCGTTGACAATGTGAATATTCACATTAACATGTTAACATTCACATTGATAAAAGTATAAAATTGGCCCGCGGCCCATAGGCGGCCAAAAGCCCGCCCGCGACCCGGGGAGGGCCCGGCCCGTTAACAATGTGAATATTCACATTGACATGTTAACATTCACATTGATAGGAGTGTAAAATTAGCCCGCGCCCCGTGGCTGTCCGAAACCAGCCCACGGCCCGTGGACGGCCTGGGGCGGGCCCGGCCCGGCCCGGCCAATTAACAATGTGAATATTCACATTGACATGTTAACATTCATATTGATAAGAGTATAAAATTGGCCAGCGGCCTAGGGCTGGCCCGACCCGGCCCGTTGACAATGTGAATATTCACATTGACATGTTAACATTCACATTGATAAAAGTGTAAAATTAGCCCGCAACCCGTAGGCGGCCCGAAGCCCGACCGCAGCCCGAGGCGGGCTTGGCCCGACCCGTGACATTATGAATATTCACATTGACATATTAACATTAGCATTAATAGGAGTGTAAAATTTGCCCGCTGCTCGAAGCTTGCCCACGGCCTGGGGTAGGCCCGGCCCAACCCGTTGACAATGTAAATATTTACATTGACATGTTACACATACACATTGATAGGAATGTAGAATTAGCCCGCGGCCCGTGGGCTGCCCGAAACCTATCCACGGCCTGGGGCAAGCTCGTTTGGGTCCAAGCCCGAGCCGGTGGGTCGAGCCTCGAGTCGAGCCGATGGGCCTGGGCCTAGCCTCAGGCTTGGGTCGGGCTTGGGTGAGCCTGTCTATTTTTTTTTAATTCTTTTTAATTTTTTTTACCAAAATTTTATTATAAAAAAAGACACTAGGCCTCAGCACAGGCTGGGCCTCGGACCGAGCCTTGAATGGGCCTTAACCGGGCCGATGGGCCGGGCGGGGCTTTAAAGTGATGGCCCAGGCCCTAGCTTAAGGTCTCGGACTAGGCTCGAGCCCAGGCCCAAACGAGCCTTTCCCGGGCCACGGGCGGACTTCGGGCAGCCTACGTTCTTTTTGACTATTCCATTAAGTCCTATTTGAGGTAAGAAGACCAAAATACCATTTTAATCTACTTATATTCTATTTAGTCCACATTATTTTCTTATGTTTTAATAAATCCTATGAGAGACATAATTACCAAAATACCCATATCATTAATACGTAGAGGCCCGGGCCGGCCCATATCGAGCCTCGTGGGTGTCCGAAAAAATCCGGCCCGACCCACGGGCCAAAAAATTAGGCCCAGGCCCTAGCCCTGGCACAAGGGCATTTGGGCTTTGGATTGGTCGATAGATCGAGCCTCGGGTCGGGCCGGTGGGCCTGGGCCTAGCCTTGAGCTTAGGTCGGGCTTGGGCGGGCCTGGCCATTTTTTTTTAATTCTTTTTAATTTTTTTTACCAAAATTTTATTATTTTCCACAAAAAAAGACATTGCACCTCGGCGCGGGCTGGGCCTCGGACCGAGCCTTGAATGGGCCTTAAGCGGGCGGATGGGTCGGGCCGGGCTTCAAAGTGATGGCCTAGGCCCTAGCCTAAGGTCTCAAACATGCTCGGGCCCGAACCCAAACGAGCTTGCCCCGGGCCGTGGGCGAGCTTCAGGCAGCCCACGGGCCACGGGCCAATTCTATGTTCTTATCAATGTGCTTGTTAATATGTCAATGTGAATATTCACATTGTCAACGGGCCGGGCCAGGCCTACCCCGGGCCACGGGCAAGCTTCGGGCAGCGGGCAAATTTTACACTCCTATCAATGTTAATGTTAACATGTCAATGTGAATATTCACATTGTCACGGGTCAGGCCAAGCCCATCTCGGGCTGCGGTTGGGCTTCGGGCCCCCTACGGGCTGCGAGCCAATTTTACACTCTTATCAATGTGAATGTTAACATGTCAATGTGAATATTCACATTGTCAACGGGTCAGGTCGAGCTCGTCTTGGGCCGCTGGCCAATTTTATATTCTTATCAATGTGAATGTTAACATGTCAATGTGAATATTCACATTGTCAACAGGCCGGGCCGGGCCCGCCACGGGCCGCCCACGAGCCGTGGGAGGGTTTCGGGTAGCCACAAGGCGCGACCTAATTTTACACTCCTATCAATGTGAATGTTAACATATCAATGTGAATATTCACATTGTCAATGGGCCAGGCCGGGCCCGCCCCGGGCCGCGGGTCAATTTTATACTCTTATCAATATGAATGTTAACACGTCAATGTGAATATTCACATTGTCAACGGATCGAACCGGACCCGCCCCGGGCAGTCCATGGACCGTGGGCGGGTTTCGCGCCGCCACGGGACGCAGGCCAATTTTACACTCCTATTAATGTGAATATCAACATGTCGGGCCAAGCCCGTCCCGGCCCGACTCGAATTTTTTCGGGCACCCACAAAGATCGACATGGGCCGGGCCCCTACACATTGACGATATGAACATTCACATTGACGGTGTGACCATTCATATTAGGGGTATTTTGGTAATTATGTCATCCATAGGATTTATTGAAACATAAGAAAATAATGTGAACTAAATGGAACATAAGTAGATGAAAATGGTATTTTGGTTTTTTTTATCTCAAATAGAACCTAATGGAATAGTCAAAAAGAATATGGGTTAGATGGAATAAATCTCTTAAAAAGTGAATTTATCAAAAAAACTCATTTAATTCACAGCGAGATCTACTCAACTATTAACCACGGGAAATGTTATTATTAAATTTTTTTTTAAAAAAGGTAATTTTAGGGAAAGCCTATAGACCCCCTATCACAAATTAATATAATTTTACTATCATTTTTTTTAATATTAATCACAATATGCGTAATGTTATTACAAATTGGTCTAATAACAATGTCGTAGTCAAATTACAAACTTTTGTAATATCAATCACAACATTATGTACATTTTGTTACGTTAATTTATGGCGATATTACTCATTTTATGATTAATATTACAAAATTATATGGTAAAGTTACTTCAATTGTGGTAGGGTGTATATGGTATGCACTCCTAAAGAGGGCACACCATAGGCTTTCTTGTAATTTTATCATAAAATTTTGTAACATCATTCATAAAATGTATAACCTTGTACAACTTATCATAATAAAAATATTCAAAATTTTCTAATTGATTTTACAAAAATTTGTAACTTAGTTACGACTTTTTTATTATGTTACTTTATGATGAGATTATGCATTTTATTATTCATGTTATAAAATTTTGTGATAAAATTACTTATTTTTATAATAAGATAAATATGGTATAACATTTTCCACTGACTATCATCACTCTACTCCTCATCTATAGCCCATCCCTATTAATCTTCTTTAACTATAAAAACTGTGCAAATACACCTCTTTAGAGACAACCTAAAGTGAATGAAAATAATATATTTTTATAGTTAAAGAAATGAAAATGAAGAAATAAAATGATATTTGATAATGGCTAAGATAGCCTTAGTGAAATTAACTCAAAAAAGTATTCTGAACTCATCATTTTCCTAATCAAAAAATTTGTACTTTTCCTTTGTAAAAGAAAGAGTAATTTTGTAAGTTTGTTCCTGCAACCACTAATTAGCATTTAATTACATCTTAATTCAAATCTTGGTTGGTGTATTTATGTTCTTAGATGTATTTTTTATTACTGTAAATTTAACTTTTACATCTAGAATGCGAGTTATTTTTCATCTTTAATTTTATTTTTTTATTTTTTAGTTTGGTTCCTAAAAGAAATTAGGTGATAAGTGATAGCGGTTAGACGAAGGAAAGAAAGGGGTGGCCCTGTGAGAAGTGACAAGAGGCAACATTAACATTTTGTCTTGAAATTCTTGAACCAAATAAATTACAAATGAAAGTGACCTTGAACCAAAATAGACTAGGTGATTCAATAAATGTGACAAATGATCCATATCTTCCACATTAAGGGGCTGTTTGGCATTAGTTAATATAGTCAACTTTTTTAGCCTTGAACTTTTTTAGCTGGATTTTTTTAGTCTCGTTTGGTTTTTGTTTTTGGACTTTTTAAACTTTTGTAAGAGAAAAAGTGTAATGATTATGAATAAAAAGTATTTCTTTATCTTATTGACTTATATAACTTATTTTGTCTTTTTGTACTTTTTTAGTCCCAAAATCTTAGCCAAACGAGGGCTAAGCTTAATTTGACCAAACCAAATAATGAAATATTAGAGTCCTGCATGCACTATATATGTAATGCTATGCCCATGAATGTTTTGCTCTTTAATTGTTTTTCTCTGGCCTTTTCTGGTTGTCTTACTGGGATGGATGTTTTTTGGCTTGTTGATGGACATTATTTACTTGATCTGTTTGCCTCTTCAAATGCGAAAACATTATTGAGTCCATTTGCTAATAAATTTAGTTTTTAGGACGATAACTAAACAAAATTTATTTGCAATATTGCTGGAGTTAAGCTTAGACCTGGGGTATTTGCATTTTGCTAACCTAAACCCATTCATAGACAAAATAATTTTCCTTTCAAAAAGCAAACATTATTCAATTCTTGCATAATTCACATTAATGCAGCTCTATTGTAACAAAACTCTTGCTCCCTTGTTTTCCCTGCATTTTCTCACTTTCGGTTAAAAAAAAACAAAAGTCAACAGAAAACGTTTTTCATTTTTGAAAGGTCGAAAACAACTACTAGCACCCACTAATATTTCTGGACTAAAATCTTACTACCACCAGCACCATCATTAATACAACTACTAGCACCCGTTTTTGCCCAAACAAACACAGCGTTACGCTGGGCACATTAATTTTCCGAAAAAAGGTATAAACTTCAGACTATTCAACAACATGCAGCAATTACAATGAGAAAGTAGTTGTTTTAAGATATAAATCAAAAATGGTAGATCACAGTAGGAACTAATGGAGAAACCAAGTACAGTGGGCAAACAAGAAATACTCCAAACCCAAGACCACAAGAAATACTCCAAACCCAAGACCACAAAAACTCCAGTTATATATATATATGCTATTCTTTAACCATAGATACACAGTTTTTGTGATCAACCCTCATCTGTACAATCCTCTAAATTTCAATTTCACCAAACATTTAAAATAAATTATTAAAAAACAAGAAAAAAAGAAGAAGATTGAACAGAACATACTGACATGAGAACATGCTGCGAATGGTTATGGCTGCCACTCATGCAGCTCCTTCAACTATATTTTCTACTTGCAGCGATCCTTTGCACGGTTAAAAAGCAACTGTTTTCTTGCTCCGGGTACCTCTCAAATTGGCTGGCATTTTGTCCTCCACTGACAGATTAAAGTTCTCGGACAAGAAGGATTTCAGGATATGCATTTGTATAGCGGGGGCCTTTTTTCAAGCTTTCTGGAATGCACGAGAAGAAACTCCGTGCAGTAGTCTGACAAACCCGAGGAAGCTAAGTTTCCCATCTGACTGTCTTATCCAGTCTTGGAGAACTACATGAACCGGTACTGATGGGCCAAGTCCAAGTTCCTGGTAACCGCAAAATAAATAAATTAGAGACATCAGAATTTTGATCCAAATACTAGTAACTGTGATGCTACTGGGGACAGATCAGAGAGACATAGGGAGAGAAAAAATATCATTTTAAAAAAATTACAACTATGTGAGCAATATATATGTAGTCATTTCTCAAATTGGCTTAAAATGTAGGATGATCAAACAATGAAAATCTTTTTAATTGTGATAATTTTTGTGCCGAAGATTTCCGTCATGACAGACAGATGTATGACATGTACTAGCAAACTCTGTACACGTCTGTGTGTGTTTGCAAAAACACTACGAGAGGAGAAAAAGAGCATACCGAGGCTAGTTCCTCTATCATAATAGGTCTATTCCCATCCTTGTCAAAAAGCTCATAGGCACAACGTGAATGTTGCTCCCAGCTTTCCATTGCTTCTAGCTGAAGCACGCTGATGGATGCGGCACAAAACTCTTCAAAATTCAATTTTCTGTATTGCAGCATACTCACCTACAAAATACATAAATTTAAATTCTACCATTAACCTCATCTTTTATTGTGAGAAAACCAATGTGATTAACGACTTATTGATCTACTGTAAACCTAAAACCTAAAAAAATAAATAAATAAATAAAAAGAGTGGATTGAGAGATGTTACATTATTTGCATAATCTATCACCCTTGAATCCTTAATGGCGTCAGTGGAGTTCTTTGTCACAGCCTGCTAAGTTCAATATTATTTAGAACCACTTGAAAAATGGTAAAAATGGGGGAAAAAATGATAATAATAATAATAATAACAATAAAGAGCAAAGCACAAAATGGACTTGGAAAACTAACCGTTTTATAGTTTTGCATATAGATGAACCCGCTCTTGTTTGGCCCTAATAGTGTAAATTGTTCCCGGAGATAAGCTAACTCAGGTACTGCCAGTGTCTTAGCAAGGGCCTGTCACAGTTATGAAACTTTCTTCAATATACTTAATGGTTGTAACAACACATCACAAACATGACACAGTAAATACATCAAAATCATAAAATCATTCACAAATAGAATGTGTATTCATTTATGTATGCATAATTAGTAACATCTATCATCCAACAACATGACTTACATAAAAGCTTTCATGTATCTTCTATTTTAGCTATGGTAAAATATTTACTAGATTTTATAGACTTCTAATTTGTTTTTTATTTATAGTTATACCTTCTTTCTATACTTCATCTCCTTGTCATCATGTGTCAGCAATGTTCTAGAATTCTCAAGTGACAAAGATATGGTCCAAAAGTGACCACTAAACATTGGTCCTCGTCACATCTTTAACACAAAGCATGGCTTTTCTTTAGAAGTATCCATGCTTCTTCGGAAAATGCAGAAAGAAAATTATTTTCTCAAGAAATTAGAAAATTCGGATCTCTTATACTTAGAAAATTATGGCCAGACATGAGAAATAGCAAAAACGAGAAAACAGACAATGAACAAAATAACAAAACAAAAATATTAATTCAAGCACTCATGATATTATCTCGTTTGGAGCAATAATGGATAATTCATATTCTAGATATTTTTATGACCATGAAATAATTTGTATATTACTGTCTAGTGAAGTCGGCAAACATATGGAGTTACTCAAAGCAGAATAACATACCCCCAAAGCCGATTTTCTTAGAGGAGACGAACATATGTAAGATTTTACAAGCTTATACATTATCATGTCCAACGGAATCTTGACATCGGGATAATTCGCCAACCAGGGATGACCTAAACATGAAAATCATAGCACAAGTATTATAACTCCAAAATATATTCTAAATGAAATTGAAATTAACATGACGTGTATGTTTAGGCTAACTTACTAAGAGCCTGGGCAGCGGTTAGCCTCTTCCGGTAATCCTTGTTCAACAATCTCTTTACAAAGTCTATTGCATCGGATGACAAAGAAGGCCAAGGGTCTTCATCAAAGCTCGGGTCCGCTTTAAGGACCGCTCGAAAGATGCCCGATTCTGAGCGGGCCCAAAATGGTCGGCTTCCACATAGAAGAATATAAGCAATTACGCCTATACTCCACATGTCCGCTTCGGTTCCATAAGATCTGTGCAGAACTTCAGGAGCTACGTAATATGCACTTCCTACAATATCGTTCAGCTTTTCATCTGCACCAGTCTCTAACTGTCAGATCCTAAGCCACCTATTCTAATAGTCAGAAAGCGATAAGTATTATGGATTGGATATTTGACCTGGCTTTACATAATCAGAGAGTCCGAAGTCAATGGCCTTTAGTGGGGAATTATCATCTTTGGACATGAAGAGAAAATTCTGAAGCAATATTTAAAAACTCAAGAAGTCAAGGAAAAAAAAAAAAAAAAAAGTGATAATTTAGGATGCAAAATCACAGTAGAAAGGATTCGATCTAACATATATCTAAACCAATAAATTAATGATTTATAAAGATCAAAGAGCAAAGCAGCAATGAAACGATTTTCGAAGATTAATGGCAATTATTCATTGTCTAATCAACAAGTTACTTTATATTGTTTGAAAATCATAAATCAGGCAATAAGAGCATTTCCAATCATTTTCATGTATTGACAGATTTAATACACTACATGAAATTTCACGACACAGAGAGCAATGTAAAAGGCTGGAACTGAAATTTAGAAAACCTAAACACATTTTAGGAGTGATCGATCATACCCTAGGGTTATGTGTGAACACACTATCCGGAACTTGCTACAAGATGTAATATTTTCCACGTCAAGTTCTACAAATTACCAAGAAAATAATGAAAATGTCCGAGTTCATTACCTCAGGCTTGAGGTCACGGTGAACTACACCTTGGAGATGACAGTAGGCAACCACACTCAAAATCTGTACCATGACAGCCTTTGCATCTTCTTCCGAGTATTTTCCACCTCTAGAGAACATAAATCAGAAATTTATATGGCCAAAAGATTGCAGAACAGGCCAAAGACTGCCATGAAAGAAGAAAATATGAAAATACAGTACCTAGAAAGTATTCTATCCAATAATTCACCTCCTTTGCATAACCTGAAAAACACAAAACATGATACAAAGTAAGCTTCAAAAGTTCGGCGAGTCCTAAAATGGAAATATCTTATTACTTGGGACATAACAAATAAACAAGAAAAAATGTACAAGCCACGAATCAACCCCTAAGAGAGAAAGAGAGAGAGAGAGGAGAAGAAAAAAAAGGTTCAGCGAACATTTACAGCCTAACAATTCCAACCATGGACCCGTACAACTTGGATGGTTCATCTCAGTTTCTACAGAAAAATGTATTTAAGCTAACTCTTACGAAAACTAGACCACATCACACCAATTTCTATGTGAGCTAACAGGCGAGTTAATAATGCTTTTCTCTCCCCTGGTTTTGGAGTTAATAAAGTTGATACCCATATTCCATTGGTTCTAATGGCAACACCTAAAAGTCAAGTTTAAGTACATAGTAGCCGTATGTACAATTGTGGCATCCAACGACGCATGTAGACAAAAACAAAAAGGGAAAGTAAATGCCTATTTATTACAGTCATGTAAGTCAAATTGCTATACAAATAACAAGTAAACGTGTATTACTGAAATTTAAGTAGTCTACACTTACTCCATTACTACATAAACATTGTCGTCATCCTCATAGGCATCATAGAATTGCACTAGGTTCTTATGCCCTACTAGAGCCCGTAATATTTTCACTTCTCTTCGCACATCCTCAATGGCTATTGTTGTAGTCATCTGAAAAAACATTGCCCCTTTTATTAGCATTAAACAAATAGTTACATTAAATTCCACACATGAGTAGCTGAAAGGACAGAATTAACAACATATCAATGCAATGAAGTCTCTAACAAATTTGAATATAAGATCAAAACAATAATGTGAACTATATTGCAAGCTAGAGGAGTCATAAAATACACAAAATAGCATCACTCTGAAATTTTGATCAATGCTCACTCATCACTTTCCAAAAAAAAGGTGTTAGATCACCAATTACCTTAAAAGCTTAAGTTGTTCAGAAATGGGCCCAGCTACCCCGTTTCGCACATGGAGAGACAAATAGAGAACCAAACCAAACAGAAAGCAGACAACCAAATGGGAACCAAAAACCAAAGAGAGACTTAAACCCAAAACTTTTCTACTCTGATACCACGTTAGATAACCAACTATTCCAAAAGCTCAAGTTTTTAGGAAATGGACCCAAAAACGTATATCAAGCTATCCAATGTAACAACATATCAATGCAGTGAAACTAACATATACATGCTAAACCTGCTAGACTAACTAGAAAAATAGAAGAATTCAACTACTTTTTCTGATTTGCATTTGGGTTAATTTCATAAACAAATTGGAAAATCTCCAGGGTAGTTTCAGACCTTCGATTTCTGGATAAGCTTGACTGCCACATCCTGTCCTTTTAAGCTCCCTTTCTTTGCCTTGGCAGAGCAAGTATAACCAAAATGCCCGCGCCCCACCTCTTCACCTAGCTCATAATAGATCATGAACTGCTTTGAAAACCCAAAATTCTTGTCCAACCCCAATTCAATCTCATTCCCTTCTGGTATTGAGGCCTCATTTGGCTTAACCGAACCGTGCCTTCGAGCAAGCAATGCCCGAATGTGCTTTGCCGGCGAAGGCGGAGGAAATGGGAGCTTGAATTTGCGCAGAGGGGTTGAACTCACACTGGAATTGGCAGGTGAGTTCTTGAATGCACTGTGCAATGGACTAGGGCTGTAAAAGGGGAAATTTGATGATTTCCTAGCTTGTGGATTCAAACCCGGCTCGTTCTCGCTGGGAATTATTGGGTTTTCAGATTTTCTTTGTGGGTTTTCAGTGGGTTTTCCATGACAAATTCCCATGGAATCAGAAACCCAATTGGAACAGAATTACTGAAACCAAGTACGAAAATGAAAAAAGAAAATCAAGAAACAAGAAGATAGTTAAACCATTAATAAGGAAAAGAAAACAGACAAGCAAGAAAGCAGATTTTCAGTTGAATTTAAAGAACTGAACCTCAAATCAGAGGATGTGAAGAGACCCAACCGAGAAAACGAAAATGAAAGTTCAATAGAAGAAAGCAATTCAACTTTCTGATTAAACAAACAATGGCAGATGGACAAAACCCATCAAGAATCAACACATTTTCAGCTGAAGAAGTGAAGGAAAATAGGGGAGATGAAAACAGCAAAACAAGAAAACCTAGGGCAATTTTCAACCAAGAAGGTAAAGAATGAGAGTGAGTAACAGCATAAAAGTGAAAAAAAAAAGATGCTTAGCAGAGGGTGCAAGAAAAGAAAAGGAAGGTTACTTACTTTCCTTGCTTGCTTTATCAAGCTTTTTCTCTATGTGGTTTTTGTGTAGAAATTTCATATATAATTCTTGTTCAGAGGACCAATTGTTACTATTATTCATCAGCAAATAATAATAATGATAGTGGGGTTGGATTTGGGTTTGGATCCTCTTCCAGCCTGTATGTGAACATTTTTGCTTACAATTGAAAGAGCTAACATTTGTCTCTGTCGTTTGAGCTTTGACCACCTTTGTGAAGTTTGAACAATTTTTCTATTTTTTTCATCTTTATTTATTTATTTATTTATTTATTTTGAGAACTTTTCCACAAAATTTGAAATGAAATGCTTTTTTCTAGGTTTTTGGAAATTGGGTTACTGCTACAAGTGTGAAAACAAGTTTGTTTGTTTTTTTTTTGGGTTTAATGCAAGTAAATATTAACAAAATCAACTTTAAGTAGGATAGTTTTTTTCCTTTTTAAGATTGCCTTAAGTACAATTAAGAGGAAGGTCACAATCATAATAATAATATATAATAAAAAAGCGGAGGGGTGACACCCTAATTCGATCGGCAATTTATATTAAGAAAAATTTCACGTGTACAATTTAAAAAATAATTATAAATTAATAATAAATTTTAGGAAAATTTTATTTTAAGGTCTTTGATATTAAAATTTTATAAAATAAATGACATATTATATTTTCATAGTAGTTGAGGTTCCTAAATATTTTCACAGAGAAATTTTGCTCCGACACAAAGAAATTTCAATTTTTACAACAAAGAAATTTCATCGAGAGACCTTAGCTAATACAAAAAAAATATATTGAACCTCTCCTATTATCCAAGTTGGAGAGAGATGTTTCACTAATTTTTTTTATGTATATTTAATAATTTTTTAAAGATCCACTGTGAGGTAATTTCCCCTTTATACTATATCTAAAACCCAAAGTAATAGGTTGTATGCATTATAGTCCAAATCTCTTAAAAAAATGTTAAGACTATGTTTGTTTGGAAAGACATTGATTTGAGATTGGATTAGTAATCTTATAAAATGTATAATTTGATAATTGATGAAAAAAAATTAGAGTCCTCATTAATAATTTATCTAAACATAATATCACTCATATAGAGAACTATTGAATCCCAAGAGAGATGTGGGATACAAAATGAAAGATTAAGAATAAATTTAAACTAATTAATTATTAAATTGTAAATTTTTGATAGGATTTTGATATTTTTCAAAAGGGTCTTACTAATGATAACCCTAAGGATTGTTAATAAGGATCAAATATTGTCAAAATATTTATAATCTCAATACATATTTTACATATTTCAAAATATTTTTATATATTTTTATTCATTCTTTACATATTTCAATACACTTTATAAACATTTTTTAACACTACTAATAGACTTTAAAACTGTTTTTAACATTTTTCTTCTCATAATCATAAGTAACATGGGATATAACGGCCCCGTTTGGTAAAATTGTGAAAAAGCGATTATGGCCGTATTTGGTAGGATTTATTTTAAGCTTATTTCAGCTTTTAGCTTAATTTAAACTATTTTGATGTGTTTGGTTCAGCTTAACAATACAACTTATAACTTTTTGTAAGTCAAAAATCAACTTATTCTTTGAGTGGGGAGGAGAAACTTAATTTATAAGTAAAAAATCAACTTATGTTCACAGCTATAAGTTATAAACTGTTAAGTTATAATCTATAATCACTTTCCCATAACTCTACCAAACGGGGCCTATAGATTATAGCTTAACAGATTATAACTTATAACTGTGAACATAAGCTGTGAGTCTGTTTGGTGCAACTGTGGGATTATGAATTTAAGCAGCAGGGTAATGTTTGGTTAATAAACTGTAAAATAAATTTTTACTGTGTAATTGTCCATTTTGCCCTTATATGATATAAAAATAATGATTTTGTCATTTTTTCAGTTTTAATTTTAAAAAAATTATTTCATTAATAAAAGTTAATATAATTAGCATCAATTAATACTAAAATTAATAATAGTATCAATTAGTATAAATTTTTTCATTTTTTCATTACAAATTAATTAGTGTCAATTAATGGCTTAATTACCATCAATTAATACTAAAATTAATAATAGTATCAATTAGTTTAATTTTTTCATTATAAATGAATTAGGTGTCAATTAATGGCTTAATTACGATCAATTAATACTAAAATTAATAATAGTATCAATTAGTTTAATTTTTTTCATTTTTTCCTTATGAATGAATTAGGTGTCAATTAATGGCTTAATTACCATCAATTAATACTAAAATTAATAATAATATCAATTAGTATAATTTTTTTCATTACAAATGAATTAGGTGTCAACACTAATTACTATAAAAATACTGAAATTAGTGTCATTATAAAATTAGTGTCATTTATTTTGTCAATTACATTTTTTCATTTAACAGAAGTTATTTCATTTTTTTATTATTTTGTTTTGTTTTCATTAATATTGTGGGGGCCGAGTATTGGGAGTCGTAGAGATTCCGGATAGTCGAACCTGGAAGAGTCGAAATTCGTCGCACTCGGCATCGGCTCGCAAGCTCGAATCCAACTTTACTCGGCCAAATAGCCGATTAAGCAAGGGGCCGAGTAAAGAGCGGTCTACTACAAAATGTGCTGAATAGAGAGTTGGAAATGGACCTAATCTTGAGGCCCAAGGAAGAAAAGATATAAATAGAAGAACATCAGTCAGAAAGAGGTAGGTGAGAATTATTTTGCTTAACTTAGAATACAAGTAACCCTGAGTACTAGGAAAGAAAGTACTCTCACTACAAACCTTTAACCCACTCTTACCAAGGAAGAGACTAACCGAGGGAACACGTTCCAAATGACAACACTGTAGGCATAAAAGCCACAACAAAATCAACCCTTCTGAAACAGTTTACTCACATCTGACCAGCGCTTCAAGCTAAGTCACTATGCAACAACACGACCAAAGCAAACCTTTTGAGTAAATAATAAGAAAACATTTTCTTGCTCAAGAGACATTTCTCAAAGATAGTTAAATTTTCAATGCTGACATTTCGAAATAAACTTTGCATTTTCCATGCAAAACTCAAAAACTTTGAATACATTTTTCACCAACACGGTGTTATCCAAAACACAATCACCCACCGATTATTTGCCAAAAATCATTCATTTGAAAATCCTCAAAACCCTTGAATTAAATCCATTTTTCAACAACACCCTTAGGTGGCCCAAATACTAGGAAAAGTTTTGTTTTCCATTTCTTTCCAAAATAACACTATCAACAACCACCACTCACACAGTGATGCCACAACCAACACGGAACATAACATTTCTATAATGATAGTTAATAAAAATAACAACAGTACTATCAACACAAAAGGCATAAGAAATTCATGGTTTTGCAATTTCATCCCGCCTCCCTTTACTTAACCAATTTAATAATAAACACCTGGCTCAGAACCTGGCCAAACAATTAAATGAGATAGTAACTCATATACAACAGTTTTCACTTCACAATAGATAAGCATATGAGCTATATCAATCTTTCAACAGATACACATTTTGGTGTTGTATCATCGGAGTCCATCCCCTATCTCCCCCCAAACAAAATACATATATAATGTATAAAAAAAAAAAAAAAATCCAATCATTTCACAATGATCATTCAATACACAAATTTGCTGTATTATTATAACCGTCATATTCAATGACACAATCGGATGATTAGTTTTGGTTTTCCTTAATCAACACACAAAGTCTTCAACAAACGAGACTAACCTCAAGGTGACCGATGTCAACCCAAAACCCGATACCAACAAGCTGACCAAACAACTCAATAAACTCCACACTCAGTAATCCACACACTGTTGTGCCACTAACCCCACACATGGAGTTCCCCACGCAAACCCCCAAATTTTGGAATCTCAACGGATCTCCAA